GACCCTGCCCCCGGGCCCCTCTGGCCGCTGAAGGGACCCCCTGCAAGCCCACCCCTTCTCTGTGGCCCACGTCTTGGGGTACTCCACCTCCTCAGGCGCCTTTTCTGCCTCTTGCTCCTGGCTGGGATGGAGACGCCAGGAAAAGGAAGTACTGAATGTGCGGCGTGGCCTCGCTGAAGTCGCTGCATGATCAGCGGCTCTTCCTTTTAATATCTGCAACCTGCCGTGAGCTTTCGTATTCCAGCATCCCCCTTCCAGGAGAGCAGGGGGGACCCTGGGGTCCCCCAGCGCTGGGCTGTAGGGGTGTGATTCGGCGGTAAGGTAGTGTGTGCGTTGGAAGGCAGGAGTTCTAATAATACCCCATTTAATTAGGGCAGGACGCGCTCGGCCCGCCGCAGGAGTGAGGCGGGAGTGCTGCTGCTCCCCTCTGCCGGGACAGCCCCCGGGAGCGGCGCGGTGCCTCGCTCCCTGCTCCAGCTCGCTCCGCGGGCGATGCGCGGGGGAAACTCTGTCCTCCTTTCTGCAGCACAGGAGTTATTTTTTGACCCGAGCGCCTCGTAGATACGCGACAACTTGCAGGCCCATTGTGCTTGTTCTGCGAGGACGTGGCTATTTCTAACATATTTCACATCAGCGGTGCAAGAATTTGGGTTATTCCAGCTATTCTTCTCGTATCCCTGGAGCGCTGGCACAGCAGCTGCTGATCACAAGGTGAAGCGCTTCCTCGTGCTGTAGATGGGGAGAACGCTGCAGTAACTGACCCCTCTCTGGATTTGTCTTGCAGATATTCTCTCAAGAGTACATCAATCTTCTGCTTTCCATGTATTTCTTTGTGCTGGGGATCCTGGCCCTGTCCCACACCATCAGGTACAGCGGAGGGAAGCGTATGACTCGGGCAGGGGCGTCCGAGGCTGCCCGCAGTGCGAGGTAGCGGGGTGTCAAGTTTATTGGGGGGTTTCTAGAGCACCACTGCCTTGTGGCAGAGCCAGGTCCCAGCTCGTAGGGTGTTTTCCCTCGGTGGGCTCTCCAGGAGCATGCTCTGAACCCTTCCTCATGGGACAGCCAAGGGGCAGAACCAAAGTCTCGGGGTCCCAGCAATCTGCTACCCCATGCAGCAACACCGGGAGAGCTTGTGGAGGTGTGGGTGGCCGCTGTTGTAGGAGCCGCTATGGGCTGGCACAGTCCTTGCTGCCCTGCAGAGGGGAGAGCTCTTCGGCACACGTTTTTCTCGTATTGGGACGGCTGAAACAGGCAGTTGGAGCTCACGATATTTGCCGATCCTTGGCACAAGGTGTTGAAAGCTCAGGCTGTTTCGGTAACTGAAAAAGTAAAACTGGTTTCCTGTTTCCTGAGCTCTAGGGCGTTGGGGACCAGATACTTTCCCTAGACTGGCACTGTGGCAAGGGCTTCGCCCCTGCTCCCGGCTCTGCAGGAGGGCCGTTTGGTGGTTGCACAGCCAGTTCGGGGTGACCAGACCCGTACGGTGCCAGGGGGCTGCCGGGGGGGCACAGGGGACCTGCTGGGGTCTGGGGTGGGTCCTGACTTCTTGCGGGTGATGCTCTGTGCCTGTTGCCCTAGGGCATTTTGGGGGATTGTCACATATGGGCAGATCAGACCTCTGGGGAGGACAGGGTCCCGTGTCTGTGGCTTTGTGACTGAAGCTGGGGGTCCCGCC